CGGGGCCCTGGGGGAGGTGCCGGGTCTGGGCCCCGGGAGTGTGTGGCGCGGGGTGCGGGCCTCACGGTGCTGCCCCGTGCCGGTAAGAGCTGCTGCTCCGTGCTGCCTTCCCCCGGGGAAGACTGACGTTCCGTTTCGTGTGCTCTCAGTCCCTTAGAGAGACCCCTCTGAGGTCCGTGAGCCAGCATGCTGGGCAGGAGGCCTAAAAAAAGCCCTCAGGCGAAGGGCCAGGGAGCTGCGGTTGCAAAGCAGGTAAGGAGGGCGAAGGGCCAGGGAGAGGGGGTTGCAGAGCAGGGAGAGAAACCTCCTGCTTTTCTTGAGGGTGGTCTCCTCAGAGCTCTCGCTGGTGTCCTGCTAGAATCGCCTGTGCCTTAATAAGATACTGCAGGACCCTGAGAATACTTACATTGTCTGGTGCCTGTTTTCCTGCTTTTATTGCGTTCTTCCTACCTGATACGCAGCAGTGGAGGTCTTGCAGGGAAACCAGGACGTTGTAATGCTGTAATCTTTGCATGAGACCTCATGACTCATGCTTGTGGTAGTTTCTTGCCCCGGTTATGTTGAGATTTAATAATAGCTTTGGAAACTCTACTGGAGTTTTTCTTACACCTCTCAGAAAACAGAAATAAGACCAGGATATTAACTGGCAAATTCAGGAGCACGTATGGGAGAACATTAACATGCTACACCAGAGACACTTAAAATTAATTTTTCTCTGTATATATATTTTTTTCTTGCAACAGATAGACTTACAAAGTCTATATCCATTCCCTATAGCTAAAAGTGAGCTTAGATGTCTTCATGTGTTGGTGTTCTTTTTCATGCTCTACCTTTGAATGTAGTGTCAGAAGCCACGAGGAGAGGAACATGATTTGAGTTGTGGTCAGCAGGTGTAGGAAGTGTCAAAATTAGAAATACAGCCAAGGCAAAATTCTGGTTAGAGTAGTGGAAGAAAACCAGATAGAGGTAAAGAATATGTGGGAACAAGAATGGACCTTCAGAAACCACTGAAGATAGAATAGAGGCAAATAATCTTCAGAGTAACTGATAAGAATATAGGGAAATATGAAGAGATTGAAATAGGATGTTAAAATAGAAGAAATAGGTAAGATACTATCTTCTGGTGATTTCTTAGGAACCAGTACACTCATACTGGAGGCAGAATGGTTTTGTTAAGAGGCACATAGTGTTCTAATACAGAACTTTGCATTTCTCAGAGAGGTTATATGTAATTTAGTTCATTAGGGAGAAGATAAAGGGTGAAAATATCTTTCTCCTTCCCCAAAAAAAGCAAAATCTAAAAAGATAAAGAGGAAATAAAGGACCTGATTAACATTTTATTAATTTCTAATTAAAAACAGTCGTTCAGCCTCTCTTACAGCATGAAGGATTGTTTCCTGAAACACACACACTAATGGCTTGTTCACTTGCAAATTAACTCAGTTTAAGCTGTTCTTGTGCCATGTAGTGTATCAACTGCAAAGTTTTTGTAACCTCTTTTTTTCCTGTCTTTTTAAACATTTGTTTAATGCTATTAATTTAATCAGAATTATGTCTTACTGAGGAGATTGAGACTTAGACCTAGAACTGAAGGATTCTGTTCTTCATTTGTTATTACACTTGCTTCACTTTCTACACTTGCAGTGCAGCATCACTGGGCTTCTGACCCATTTTGCACAGTGATAAAGGTGTGCAAGTGTTCCATAGAACCTGAATGCTCACATCACCTTTATAAATATTTACTAATTAAGTCTAGTTCTGACCTTTTTTGCCCATTCTGTCAAGGCAGTAGTCACCAGCACCTTGGTCCCTAAGGGTTAAAAAAAAAAAAGTTATTACTGATTCACACTAGTTGATAAGCTGAGCTTCAGCTTCTGGCAGCACTTCAGATCCTCTGAGGCAGGAGGAGGTTGTTAACCCTTGTGTTACAAGATCATAGAATTGTTAGAGGTGGAAAGGACCTCTAGAGATCATCTAGTCCCACTCCTCTCCTAAAGCAGGATCAACAAGAGTACATTACTCAGGACTGCATTCAGGTGGGTTTCTAATATCTCCAGAGAAGGGGACTCCACAACCCCCCTGGGCAGCCTGTTCCAGGGCTCTGTCGCCCTCACTGTGAAGAAGTTTTTTCTCATATTTAAATGGAAATCCCATGTTGCAGTTTATGCCTGTTGCCCCTCGTCCTGTCACTGGGAACTACTGAACAGAGTCTGGCACCATCCTCCTTGCACCCACCCTTTAGATACTTACAGGTATTAATAACGTTTCCCCTCAGCCTTCTCCAGTTTAGAGTCCCATCTCTCTCAGCCTTTCCTCATAAGGGAGATGCTCCAATCCCCCCGTAATCTTTGTTGCCTTCCACTGGACTCTCTCCAGCAGTTCTCTGTCCCTCTTGAACTGGGGAGCCCAGAACTGGATGCTGGTAATTGATTTTTATTCCCCGGCTAGAAAGGAGCTGAACTCCTGCCTGCTTGTCTGTGTGAAGACCAGTAAGTCAAAAGGGGCTTGTGCTTGAAAAAGTTTGAGGAAAGCTACTCCACTTACCTCACAGGATGAATCTGATTCAGTTAATTCATGTTCATAAAAACACTTATCATACTTTGAATAAAAAATGTTGTTATTTCTGGGGCATTTCGTATCTTAACCAGCAATATAAAAATAATGATAAAAAGACATCCTAGAAAAACACCTTATAGACCAAGGCCTCAGAGGCTTCTCTGATACTCATGTCCTTTGGCATATTTTACAACAATTGAGTGATAACCCCCACTACTTTGTCAAATTCTGGTTACTGTTATGAATAATGCTCCCTGAGGTGATTGGCTGATGATTTGTTCCAGGCAGTTGTTTTTATCCAGTGCAGTGTGGGCTGGGTTTGTAGTGGCAATGTTCCTCTCTATATGTGTCTGGGCTTTCCACATGTTTATGATTTACAGACTGAGCTAGTGAGAAGTACAGGACAGTTCTGTTTATGTAAATATAGCTTCTTCAGAGAGGTAAGGGTGAAATTGCTGCAGTTTATGCATATCAGACTTGTATTGTGGGAACTATGATTAAATATCTTTTAGCTTAGCTGTTCCAGAAACTTCCCTGGTGATATCTGCTTCGCAAGGATCACTATCACAGACACAATTAAATTTTACCTTGTTATGTCAGACCATTAGCCTTGATTTTAAGAAATCATTGATTGTGTAGATGTTTAGAGGGAGTATTTGTGGCTTTTTAAGATTTATGTACCTTATGTCAGCTATGGGTGCCTGGAATGCACTGTTTGGTAACAGAAGTGGTGTGATAGCAGGCTTTAAAAAACATGAACAGAATCCAGAATGCAGTATGATGTTTTTGAGTGTCACCTCTGTTCTAACTGCAGTGATTTAAAAAATATTTTTAATTTTCCCTTGGCTCCAGCTGGGGCTGTTTATAGATTTCAACCCAGAAGAGATGCTACTGGAGGAAGGTGGGGATGATGGGGATCTAGAAGCAGAGCTTGCTGCCATCACAGGAGTGAAGGTGAAAGAAGAGAAATCAAAACCAAAAGGGAAAAGTAAGTTAAAGTTTTGGGATTTTATTTATTAACAACCTGAATAGTTTATTAAAGATACCTATTTGCAAAACACTGGTTTATCTAAAATATTTTTAGTCACTGATAGAAGCTGAAATTGCAACTCTTCTTTCTTTTACTTTGAAAGGTTTAAGTTGCTTCTCCACAAAGAAGGGTACGAGCTTTTTTATCTGTGCTCTTGTAGACATAGGAAAAAAGATATATGATGGCTAGCCAGCTTAATGACTAAATTAAGATATGCTCATTTACTATATGAAGTCATAAAAAGGTGTAGCAGGTGTTAGGTGAATTCAAACGGAAAACGTGTTTCTTGTGGAGGTTTGATTATTTGCTGTTTGGCTGCTGTTCTGTTTTTGTTTAAAGTCTGCATTTATGGAATGAGCATTACATTTTTGGAGTCTATAACCAAAACTGAAAACCTTTTTAAGAGGGAAATCCTGGAACTGGTGGAATTACTGGGGGAATCCT